AAATCACTCTGTTCATGCAGCCCTAGCCACACGTGCTGCATGTGATTTACACGGCATTCCTAAACATTCCCTGGATAGAGTCATCTAATGTTTACTCTACCTTTATTGCAAATTCTTTTTAATCTAGAATTTCGTATCTCCTGCATTGTTAATGCCTGTAGTTTGCTAGACCCTGCATGAGCCTTCTGCATGTAATTAAACTTCATAATTCATGACTACTTGTTACAGTGTCTGTAAGTAATTATATAAATCCTACTCATGCAGCCTGGAGTATTTAATGGAGATTCCATGGAAGTGCTGTGTCCCACTCATGACATTAATATACAATATATTTATATTCTCTGCATCAATAGCAAATGACTAAAATACATAAATTTTCTTTCTTTTTTTTTTTGCATTATCCAATTCCTTCCTGCTTAATATTTAGGAATGGCCAACAATTACCCACTAAAAGGTTCTCCATCACTAGATTATGTATAGGGTTTCTTTTCATTTGCCCAATTTGGGTAATATTTTAAAACGTAATAGTGAACACAAATGCCTAAACAAAATTTATCCAGGGTATTTAGACACGTCTAATAAATTTGGCATCTAATTCATCATTTAGCCCTTAAACCCTCCTTCCTGTCTATATATCTATATATATGGTATTTTGGCATCCTCTCTCTCTCTCTCTCTCTCTCTCTCTCTCTCTCTCTCTATATATATATATATATATATAAAAGATGCCAAAATAACAAAGTTTTCAAGAATTTTCCTCTCTTCCTCAGGTCTGAAGCAAAACTGACAATATATGCATAAGCATTGCTAAAGACCTGAGGAAGAGAGGACAACTCTTGAAAACTTTTTTTTTTAAGTATGTTAGTCCATAAAAAAGGTATCATTGCATACTGCAATACTCTGGTATTTTGGCATCTTGTCTACTGGACTAATACGGGTAATCCAATCTACAATCCAATCTACAATATATATTTTCTTTATCTATCTATCTATCTATCTATCTATCTATGTATCTATCTATCTATCTATCTATCTATCTGTATAAATAGATAGATAGATAGATAGATAAAGAAAATATGATATTTTTACCTTGTATTCCTTGATGATTATGAGGGACAATGACATGTTTCACCCAAAATGCCAATGACGTTATTATAATGCTATTTTATATGAGTCTGTTTGCCCTTTAAACAAATTGTGTTAGACTAAAATTATATTATGATTTTGTTGTCTGTGTCTTTTGTATTCTAAAAAGAAAAAACATATGTCTGGAGAAGATTCCCTTTTTGGAATAAAAAAAGTTATACTATTAAAAAGATGTTCATTGGCGCTAATCCATGTATTGATTCATCAAAGAGAAAAGAAAACATCAGATGATCTAGATAGGAAAATTTATAATATACTAAATAAATTAGAACCAACCAGCAGTTTAGAAATGTGATTAGTTGAAAAAATATTCGATGAAATCAAAGTACTGGAACTTCAATAGCATAGACAGAAAAAAAAATGTTTATGGACCTAGGCATCAGAACCACAAATGAAGGAATTAATAAAAAAAATATATATAGATACTGAATAAAAGGGCGTTAGGGAAAATACTGTATGAAAAAGAACAACATGAGACAATCGACACATCATAAAGAGGTTATTCATACAAAAGACATTTCATAGAAGTCTCTTTGTGGTCTTCGGTAGAGATAAGAGAATAGTTTATGGTTCAGTTTAGAAAATACAGAGACTGAGTTTAATGGCAGATAAAAGTCAATTGGCCCACCTGGTGTGCTCATTGTTTATATATAAGCACAGGACTTATTCTTGATTTTTTTTCCTGTTGAAGACATCCGTGTGTCTATTCAAAGCCTTCTTGAACACTCTTCCTGTGTTAGTCTTTATCGCTTCTACTGTAAAGTGATTCTTTACATATTTAGCCTTTTATGTAGGAAAATAAACAAGTGTAAATGTATTTCCTTATATTTACTTTCTCATAAGTTCACTTTATGTACTCTAGTTCTGATGTTTTATCTACTCTCTTGCTATAGAAAGACAGAAATCTTTTTCTGTTTTCACTCTTAACATTTTTTTAGTTTTCCAACCACTAATATTAAATATGATGGATTATTGAATGAAAGAAAGAGGGCCTTTGATGAACAAGTCACATAGTTGCTAGGTTTAGAGAGTTTTTATAACTTATACTTATTACATCAGTATTATTATTTTCCGCATGCTTTTGCTCTTATCATTTTCCCCATATTTTTATTACTCCCATCTTCCATATTATTACTCTTTGCATTACCCCATGAATTTTTCTAATCCTTGTCCCAATACTTTTATCTTTCCTTTGTTATCATTATCCATTCCATCCACCTATATCATTATATTTATTGGTCCCATATGATTTTTCTCCTCAACCTCTCTATGTCATAATTACATTTGGGTCTGGTGAAGAAAATGGTTTGTCCAAATTGTTTTGTGTAAAATAAATTTAGTTTTTTTTATTTTGTCTATGTGACATTTCGGTTTTGATCCAAAAGGGACCCTATTCAATTAAAAGTTTTTTAAAAACAAATCTTTATTTCATGGGCATAAAATTCGTACAGCAATTCAGAATATTTGCATACAGTATGGCTGAAGTGTAGTAGCTTCACAACTAATGAATGCATAGTGCCCTTTTTTAAAGTTATGTAAGTCAAACATATCAGTTAAATCTTACAATAAAAACAAATAAGAAGTTGCTGGATCTAGTGGAATGCTCTCTATAACTATAACCAAAAGTGAGAACTATGTCTGCTTATATATACAGGGCAGGAAATGCTCTTTAACCCTCAGCTTGGGGGTGAGGAGGTGCAGTGGTTGTACAATATGAGACCTGTCAGTCTACCCTTTAAGAGGTCTCAGTGCCCATGTGACGCCCTCTTGAAGTTGCACCCTGGCCCATGTGCCTTCCAAAGTTACATGAAATGGGTAGCATGTATATATGCCGGCTTAAGGAATTGCTAAGGAATTTGTATGGTTTTAACCAGTAAGTGGGTCTAACGGGACCTTAAATTGGAAGTTAGCCAGTACATGAGTGATTTTAACCCTCTCCTGCCAGGAGAGGGAGAATGAATGTTCGAGGTGAGTATGTGTTGCATCAAAACAATTATATTGAATAACATTCATTAACTTTCTATAATGGGGAATTTAAAAGAGAAGGAAGACATTTCTACCAGCTAAGTTCTTAGAATCTCCTCTCCAGTCCTCAGTTGACCAGTATGCTTCAACTCTTATGTTGTGAGCTTGAACTCACAGAGGTAGATGGTGGCAAAGCAGGGCCTCTGTCCATGGAAGATAATCCTGATGGCCGGAACGGTTTTATGTATGATAAGTCCCAGGTGTGTGCGGCTCTTTGACTTGGGTCCAGGGACCTGGTCCCAATTGTAGTGGCAGACCCAGCACCAAGAGCACAGAGTCAGATTCTGATGCGTCAGTGATGTGTAAAATTTTGCCACTATGTGAGATAACCAGGCTCCAGGGGAAAGCCCAGTGATAATGGATAGAATGGTTACGAAGAGTGGAAGTCAAAGGTTTGAACAGGCATCTACACAGCAGAGAGGTCCTGGAAGAATGGGAGGGCATTTTTAAAAAAAAATGAGTTGGTCCTCTTACTGCTGCCATGAAAGCTAATTGCACTGATCATTCCTGGAACTGCAGTATAACATCCCTTAGGGATTCAGATGAGGCTCTGGCTGCTTTCGGTATACAAAAAACCCATCTACTATGGCCTGCTTGGCCTGTCTGGAGGTAAATATTGTAGTCAGTAGCCTTCTAATGTAGTATGGCAGTTCTTCAGGGGTTATAGCCTCAGGGATTCCCCTAATTTTAACATTCTGGCTTCTGTACTGTTCTTCCATGGCATCCAGTGTTGAGTAAAGGAGGTTTGGGTTCTATTTAGCTCTGCTGTTAGTGCTTCCATCGTTTGGCATCTTGCAGTGAGGCACTTTGAATCTTCTTCCACTGCCTTGATTCGTCCCCCAACAGTGTGTATGTCTTCCTGCACTATAGCGAGGTCCGCTGCAAACATCTTGCGTATATTTCAAAAAAGGGATTTGATGTCCCCTTTCATTGATGGTATCCCATTGTCCTCTTCTGAGGAGAAATGGTGTAGAGCACCAGGACCTGAGAATTCATCTAGTTCATCCATGGCCTGGTCCTTGGAGAATGCCGAGATCGATTCGCCATTTTCTTCTGACATGCAGGCTCCAGAAGCTTTCTTGGGTCTAAGCAAAGGGTCTCCTATGTCCTGGGAACCCGCTGCTTTTATGGGTCCTTAGCTTCTGAACTTCTTCCCCATTAGGTAAGGTTGTGTTCTGGCTTCAAATGTTTTTGAATTTGTTCATTCTAATATGCTTGTACAAGCTCAATATACAATTATAAGTTTTAATCCCCACTTATACTTACCTAGGCTGAAATGTAATTACACGTTATTCACAGCACATTGTTTTATTCTAATAAATAAAGTAATTTTTTGTTTTTGACATTCTTTATTTTTTTCAGTGCATTGTGTAACATGCAAACTTGAAAATACATTGCATCCTATTATACATAACATTGAAAATATGTATTTACAACATGAAGTGTCTAGAGCACTGCACTTTTTATAGTAAATGAGTGAAGGTGTCAGTAGCACAGTTCCAGTAGTATAGCTGGGAGAGAAGAATAAGTGCTGTAGCATAGAACTGGAGATAAGCTCAAGAGGTAATACCACTGGGTAAGAAGGTTTAAACATTGCATGTGATCAAGTAGGGCACAGTAATAGTGCAATCAGAAATTGCTAATAACCCACATAGGAACATGTAGTCATAGTGCTGTAAATCTGCCTGTAATAATACACATAAACAAATTAAATATAGTTCCATTAGGTGACAACCGCAAATGAGAAACAACATGAATAAACTACAGTCCTGTAGAATTACAGCCGCACATATTGGGTACTATAATATTTTATTGAACTTGCAGTGGTTTCATGGTGCTGCCCATCCAATGCCCATAGAGGTAACCGAGAGACCACCACGTTGAGTAGGAGAGTCCCACCAGCACCAAGCGTGGATGTGGTCCTGCTTTGTTCCTCCATGCCACCCTCCATGATCAGCCACACGAACAGGGCTCCAGGACCACCATGATGCACATGATAGGCCGTGCTGAGCAGGCACCCTCTGACAATGCTTGTGAAGTGAGCCACCTCCAGAGTGCCATATAGGGACATTGCGACGGGCTGTACTAGCCGGCATATTGCAGGCTTGAGTTGGCTGTGGTCCCGCCTTCTCCTCTTTGCCATCCAGCTTCAGCCGGTGGTCGCTTGAGCCTCCACCTCCACGGTAGCTGCATGGGTGGTGCACCATCCCGCGATGTCGGCCTGCAGATCATATCTTCACCATTGCTTACAGGAGGTGCGGTATGTACGTGGGCACTGTCAAAGGCCTGTAGTAACGGGTCTGCATAGGTGGATGATTGTGGATTGGTCTGTAGAGCAGTAGGCTGCCGCATAATGGGCATCTTTAGCAGTAGGCCCCAACCTCTTTAGTTGCTGTGGATTACAATGCCACTTACAGAAGGCCCCAAGACTATACCAGTGGGGACCGGGATAACCCTCGTTGGTCCAGAGGTGGGGGGTGTACAGGCACAAAATAGATGAGTTCCAGATTCAAGCAAAGGATCTGCCGCCTTCCCCGCCGTGGGTATGTACGCAGGCCGCAAAAAGATCTGTCCCACCTGAGTCAAGCCCAGGTAAGCCAAGCACTTGTTGGGGTACTCCTCAATAGTAAGAAGCAGGTTTGTACCAAAAAAGTAACTCTACTATCCAGGCTTAGGCTTAAGAAACGGGTGTTCCTGAGGAGCTCCAGCGTCATGCGACCATCTTGCTCAACCATTAGGCCCTTCCCTTCATAAATAAAGTAATTTTAACCAATGTAAAGGATACTCTCTACTCTCCATCATGAGGGGAGGGGAGGTACTTTACTTTAGTTTTTATGTTAGGAGAATATGTTTGAGGAGGAATGCCATATATATATATGTATATATATATATATATATATATATGTTCTTATGTGATAGACTGAACAAGAAAAAGTGCAGTGCTTACATTGCAGTACTAAGACTCTCAGACAGCCACAGAGGCGCTTCCTGAAGTTTTCAGTGTTTTGAGCATCAACGAAAACCCCATAGGAAAGCATTAGGTTCCCCCCATCATCTGACGTTACATCACGGGGAGGGGTGGGTGGTACGGGGTGTACAGGGTACAGAGGAACACATTGGTGTTAGGAAAACACATTTGTATTCCTAACACTACAATGTTCCTTTAAAATGTTCATGGTTCAAAGGAATGGAGATCCCTGCCTTATCCCAACCTTGGTATGTAATATCATTTTTGGAAATAAAGTGAGGGGTGTGAGTAGATGTGATACCTTTGCACAGACACAGTGTGAAGGCACTCAATTACTATTAGTCAATAAAAGCTAACATATACTGTACTAAATAGGCTTAGCATGATTATACCTAGTTTGTTACAGTTAAATATCTAACAGGTCAAGGTCCCCTGTTCAAAGTAAGTGAGATAAATGGAAGCACTGGAACACCAGACCTCATAACAGAAGTGTCCGGAATAGAATCTTGATTTGAGAATTTTGAATAAGAGGTCACTTAACTAATACATTTCAAGGCTGGGAATGACAGTTGGAGTGTAGAACTAATGTACCAACATTCTATTACTATTTATCTGTAAGGGCACCTGATGTGGATAACATAGAAAGGTGATGGCTTTCTATGATAATAACCTGCAGATTATATTTTAGTGTTCCATTGCAGCAAGAAATATGCCTTTTTATTAAACAAACATCCAGTCAGTGCATAGACTTCATCTGGAAAATGTTGCCTTTTATTGTATATTCTTTAGAAAACCTATCAAAAAATTCTCCTAGGAGACTTAAAACATTTGGGAACACAGTTCTGACAAACATTTGGAAATACCCCTTTTTAGGTAATTAATTGTAAAGAAGTAAAATGTGTTCATTTCCTTTCAAAAAATGTAAAATAAGTAATGTATTTGTATTAACTGGAAGACCTTATTATTTTGGGTTAAGCAAGAGATGAGAAAAAGAGCAGAGGGCACATCTGTTTGTAATCACAAAGGGGGTAAAGACGTGTCCTGTTACATCGATGTTCCTTTAACAAAATGGAAAAGGCCAATTTCTTTTCTTTTTTTTTATTTGACTCTGCAACTGTACAAAAATAAAATAAAACTTGAACTTTAATCATGTGCATAAATTGAGAACTGAATTCCCAAAATAAGACGTGCTGTAGTGAGCTGTAATTTGCGAAATTAACAATGCTAGAATGATGGGACTATAGAGATGATCTCCGCACTTACTTTAGTGTGAAATCCAAAGGGGGTTATTGGTTAATGAATTTACGAAAAATATGGTTTCATTCGTGTGACCTACCACCTGTTTTGAGATATTATGGAAACCTACACAAAAAGATTCCCACCAGAGGGGGCTTCGAAAAGTAGATACTGCTCTCATCTTGATAATTGAAACAACATTGTTTCATTGAACATTTCTATTTTCGGATTTTCATCACCTAGAATGTAACTCTAAAGTTTCGAATGCTTATATAAATTCCTAATGATCTGACAAATGTTTTCATGCATAGCTTTTCAGGAATTCAACTGATGTCTACATTACAGGATTGTGCCAGATACTTACACACTGTGATTGTCGAAATAAACTTTGAAATAGAAAGCTATAAAAAAAAGAGGTGTGTTTTGCATTGTGTTGAACGTCCAATGAGATGTGAATGAAGTGAACATCAGTATTTCATAACGATTACATATGTAATAGAGCAGCTTTCAATTTTATAAGGCCCACACTAATGTTGTAGTAGACTATACACCGATCAGCCACAACATTAAAACTACTAACAGGTGAAGTATATAACATTGATTATATTACTACAATAAAGTGGTATAGATTAGGCAGCAAGTGAACAGTCAGTTATTGAATTTTATGTTTTGGAAGCAGGAAAAATTGGAAAGCGAAAATTTGTAAGTGACTTTGACAAGAGCCAAATAGTTACGGTAGAAAACTGGATCAGAGCACCTCTGAAACAACAAGTCTTGGTGGTGTTTCTGGTATGCAGTGGTTAATGCCTACCAAAAGCAGTGCATGGCAGGACAACCTATGAAGTAGTGTCAGAGTAATGGATGCCCGACACTCATTGATGCATTTGGGAAACAAAGGTAGCCCATCTGGTCAAATCACACAGAAGAGATACTGGAGCTCAAATTTCTGAAAAGACTTAATGCTGGCAATGATAGAAAGATGTCAGAACACGCACTGTATCCCAGTTTGCTGTGTATTGGGTTGCATAGTGCCCATGTTGACCATTGTCCATCAACGAATGCACCTTCCATGGGTACATGAGCATCACCATGAAGCAAGGGAAGAAGGGTGCCTGGTCTGATGAATCATGTTTTCTTTTACACCAGGTGGATGGGTGGGTGCATGTGGGTTATTTAGGGAAGAGATGGTTGCAGCATGCACTATGGGAAGAACGCAGGCAGGTGGAGACAGTGTTCTGTTGGGAAATCTTGGTTCCTGGCATTAATTTGGCATGTACCAGCTACCTAGAGATTGTTGCAGTCACCCCTTCGAGGCAATGGTGTTCTCTGATTGCAGTGGCCCCAAATTGCCATGGCAAAACGTTTTAGGAATTGTTTTGAGAAATTGAGAAAGATTTCAAGGACTTGCATTGGCCTCCAAATTCCCCAGATCTCAATCTGATTGAGCATTTGTGGGATGTGCTGGAACAACAAATCTGATCCATGGTGGCCCCACCTCACAACCTGAAGGTCTTAAAGGATCTGCTTCTAATGTCTTGATGCAGGATACCACAGTACATATTCAGAGGTTTTGTGGAGTTCATGCCTCAACGCATAAGAGCTGTAAAAAGGGGGCCTACACGATATTAAGCAGGTGGTTTTAATGTTGTGGCTGATCAGTGTGTATATATATATATATTTAATATATGTGATTGTGTTGAGAGTATTATGCATGTATGCATATACATACAAAATTCTTAAACTGTGTATTATATTGTGTATAATTATTTTTGGAAGATTTTGCATTCCTAAGTAATCTCCAAATTGTAGCAAATGACAATGGCATAACTTCGTTCAAAATAGCTGTTTTAGAACATTTTTCCAACATTGCTATTCACAGATATTTTACCTTACATTTTGCAATTCACAAAAGTCAAAAAGAAACCCCACACTTAGTGATTGCACTACAGTTAGCACAGAGCTAGAATTACTGCTTAGAGAAACGGCCCCACACAATTATATTAAATGGCATTGAAAAATAACTCATTGTGCAGAAATGTCATACTTGTGGTGAATTAACGTGCAAATATTATGGTCAATATTTTCAAGTCATCCTTCAGTGCATCACAGTGTACAGTTTAATGAATTTGTCATTTAAATGTACACACAGATGAGGCTTTTGCTGGTGCACAGAAAACACTAAAAAATACAAATGCTCTTGATTCTAAACTGTAATATGCTAAGCAGCCCTGGTGGCCAATACTGTACATTATGTACTTCAGTAAGTCTCTTTTTGAGAAACGTATGTTTATATTTTCACAACCAATGTTTGAACTTTGAATATTTTCCAGGAATTCCAAAGACAGGACCATATGACCTCAAAATGCCATAAATATTAAATCTGTTATGGGCTAAAACTTAGTTCTTCTAAAGGAAGATATGTGGTCACATAGGTGTCAAATCAGTCACGCTTTCTGGCCAACTGGACACCAGTATTTTATAAAGGAACCTATATTTTAGCGTGCCTACCTTTTAGTTCTGTAGCTTTTTTAATTGCAGCCAGACCATGCAAGCATCAAGTAATCAGGAACGAAAACAGAATCAGAGAGTTTTTACAGGAAAAAGCTGTGCATGATAATTTTTCTTTTGATTGCAAGAAAGTTGCACAACATTGTTTGTAGTCACGCAAGCCTGACAGTTAAAAGGGGGTTACCAAAAACAGGGGCATGTGCATAGTGTAAATATGCTGCAATCAAATATTTTTGCAATCAAAGAAAGCTTTTTTAGTTAACTTTATACCTGTCATTTTCAGAACACTTTTCCATGTCTTCAATGTGTAATTAGTAGCCCAGATCCATAAACAAAGTTGAAATTTATAAGTCTACAGCCAAACCAAGAAGGGCATGCCTTAACTGGAGAGTAAAAAGGAAATTCAAGTATTTTTTCTTTTTAAGGGACACTGTACACACTATAACTATTTCATCCCATAGTGCCTAGAGTTCCCTGGCACTGTCTTTCCATTCA